TTGAACATTGAGATATTGCCTAATAACTTTGTAAAAGAAAGGTGTTCTCAAATCTTGATCATCTCTGTGGATCCAAACTCTGTTGTCACTTTAAGAATTACAAAATATCCAGAACAGAAGAAAAAATATTAAATTCCTTACGGTCTTGGGCTGGATTAAGAAGTAGGGTTCTTCAGTAAGAGACTTTGACTTTTCATGTCAAGTGGGGAAGAGGTAGAAAAGAAGAAAGACAGGAAGAAAGAAAGAGAGAAAGAGGAAGGAAGGAAGGAAGGAAGGGAAAAAGGGAGGGAGGGAGGAAGGGCAATCTAAATCAGCTTACAACTTACCCACATCCATTCATGATTCTGCATCAAACTTCTACCCTGCTTGAAAAGACAGTGAGTACAAAGAAATACAGGTACTGGCTAACTAAAGTCCAGAGCTGAATTCAGAACAGGCATTTCCTGTTCTGAGAAGATACAAGGATGCCATTTTATATTTCAAGTCAGGAAAATGTGATGGAGCAGTGGACTCAGAAGGGAGAGAAAAAAAAGTTAAAAACCATAGTCAAGTCTGCCGGTCACACCTTTTCTACAAACTCAGGTAAGCTACCGGTAACCAAAGAACTGGTGATTAAAGTCAGACGTCTGGCCGCATGGACACTGAGCACTCAGCTAATTGGCTCCATTTTTCACTTTCTGTTGATTGATTCTGTATCATACAGACCTGGCTTAACTTCGATTTGGGTTTACATAGTGGCAACTGATGAGATGACCCAGGTCCAAACTGCAAGCAGGAATGACGGACCACTCCACAGTCGGCCTCACGGTGGACAGAGAACACTTAAACAACTACAGGGGAGATTCCCAGGCTGAAAAGCACAGCATCAAAAGACAAAACTCGGTTTTAGAAGCTTGCACTGCTGCCATCCCTAGGCGTGAAACTGTAAATTAAAGAATGGTCTGGTGTGCGCTGCACTGAGCCAAACCAGAGACATTTCACATCCACTCTTTAATTGGGGGATCCATTCAAATTGAAACGATAACATCCACCTAAGCAGATGCTCCATATCCCCTCCCCTACACCCCCTCACTCCGGTATGTTTTGCACTTTGGCAAGTGGGCGCAAAATATCTGCAACATGGTCTGCTCAGATATAGGATGGAATTTCCCAGTTTTTAAATGGTAACAGATGTAGTTTCGGCTCTAATACACATTGGGCTGTCTCCAAAAAAATCACACACACACACACACACACACACACACACACACACACACACACACTCCCCTTACCTCAGCTTTAATAATGAAATGTCACAGAATAACTAAAAATCTTCAGTCAACAATGATTCGTGGCTGGCTTTGTGTTTGTTTGTTTTTGTTTGCATGTTTTAGTAATGAATAAATGCTCCAGTCGGTTCCAGATTTCCAGGCCTATATATCAAGAGCCTCCATCTTCATTATTTTTTTTTCACTTGCGTGTTTATAACGAGAGGTGTCATAATCATGTTTCTTGTGAAAATGAAAGTAATCAAAAAGCCTTGTGATTCCAGGAAAAGATCTTCTTAGGGAGGCATGCCTGCCTGCTATTGACGTTGTAAAAAGGCTCCTTTTACATGGTATTAGATGTTGAGAGCACATCATATTGATCTAGAAATAAAAAGCTTGATTTTTTTTTTAGTACAGTCAACCCTTACCTTCATAAGCACTTTATAACACTAGGAAGAGGGTTTTATTTTTAATTGAGGTAGAGTAAACAAATTATATTTGAAGAACATTGCTATTTTAGGGAATGGAGCATTTGTAAGCTTTTTTGGCAGGAATTCAGGTAAAATCATGAATAAGTCTCACTCTTTCAAATTTGGCCCAGACCTCCCCAGAGCAGCTCTGCTGAGTCGGAGATGGGATTTAGACTATTGCCTTTGTTTTATCCTTTTTTCTTCGTAGGCACAGTCAAGGCAGGTTTTCTCATGCCCAGACTCTGAAAATGCAAACCGGAGACCAACAAGGCCCTTATGCACAGACTGTACATTCTTCATGCCCCAAAATGGTGATGTGCCTGCTTTGGAACCCGCAAAGCCTGGTGAGACGCCTTGCTCGGGCTGCATTTAGCACCAGCCAGCGAAGCTTCGGTAGCATTTGACGGCACCCTCCCCTAATGATGTACATCTCTCATTTGTTTCTCTACTTTATCTTAAAGTTCATACCGCACCACTGGAAGAAGAAATCAATACTTCAAATAATCTCCCTTTCCCCACCATACAATTCCACTGCTCTAAGAGGAGCTCGCTGCCCAATACCAGCCTGAGAGCTAATCATCCTCCATAGAGCAGCGCCAGCTGCTTTATCAGAAATTCTTTCGATTTTCTTAGCAACACGAGTCTGTCTCCTTTTCTAGAAGAAAGATGTTGCCTTTGGGGAAATGCTTTTCCAAATCAAGTTAAACTAACTTTACCCGAAGAAACCGGTAGCTTTCCCTCTACGAAAATACCTAGCACCACCCTGTTCTGTCTTTCCTTTACTCCGAACCTGCCCACACTCCCTCCTTCTCGCCCACCTCCTCTGGTATCCAAGGAGTTGGCGCGTGATTGCCTGTCTTGCAAATTGGGCCGCGGCCCTCGCTTTTAAACGCTCTTAAAGGACTTATTTCTTAGCTCATTAAAGATGCTGCGAAACCTCCCATCGCCGTAAAGCGGTGGCACTGCGTGCTCCTGACGCCCGCGTCTCCCCTTCTCTCTTCCTTGGGTGAAATACGAAGTGGCTGAGTTTCTCGGCCAGGGGGGTGCAGGTCGGAGGCACGCGCCTGGAAACTTATCCTAACGCATCTGACTCTGGGACTGGGGGCGCGGCGCTGCCGAGGAATACTGAAGACAGGCAGGACTGGCTCCGGGTGTGTGGTTCAAGCCTTTCGTACCCGCCTTGGTCCTCAAAGGCGAGCTGGGGTTGGTTTCTGAGTCACACACACACACACACACACACACACACACACACACACAAGCGCACGGACGCCCACTCCTGGAGAGCTGGAGTTTGCCAAGCTGGAGGGGTCGTTGGCTCTTGGCAATCCTGAACGGGCGCGGGAAAGCGGGAGGACCACCTGGAGCCCACCACACTGGACAGAGTGGCCTGGAGAGAGCCTCCGGCGTCCGCCATGGGCAGCCCGGGCGTCCCTGGCCCCACTCGTGTCCCTGCAGGGTCCCCAACTACAGGGCCAGCCGACCACCTCGGCAGCTCCTGCAAGTTTCCACTCGCAGCGGGGTCTGCCCTCTCCCGGCTGCCTCACCGCGAACCCCCTCTTTGCACGCCCAAGCTGCCCTCCCACCCCGAAGGGGGCTCTGCGCCCGGCGATCGGCGGCGTGATTACTGGGGGCGCCTCCGACGCCCCCAGGCGCGGCGGCGGCCGGGCGGTCTGGCCAGAGCTCGCCGCCGCCTCCCGTGGCTGCAGCCGCGGCGGCGGGAGCCTCTCCAAGGCTCCCCGGCAGCCCTTATGTATTATTCACTCCGGTGGCCTCGGAGCTTTCTGGAGAGCCCACGCCGGAAAGACGAGCCCTTCACCTGGCAGCTACTAGTTGGGCGATTTGTTTCTTGGAAACTTGGGGTGATGAGGGGGCGGCAGAGCACATTTTTCGGTTGTTTTGCTTTAGGGCTTTGCCCCCTCCCCCGTTGCCGCGAGCTCGCAGGAGCGCGCTGCGCCCTGGGCCCGGGAGGGAGCGCGCGAGCGCCGGCGAGCGCGGCAGGCAGCCCCGCGAGCGGCCGAGGTTGGCGGGCGGGCTCCGGAGAGCAGCGCCGTGGTGGCCAGGAGAGCAGGGCAGAGCCGAGCCCGGGTCCTCGACACCCCAGCCCGCGGGCCCGCTCCCGGGGCGCGCGCTCCACGGGGCCCGGGAATCCCCGGCGCCCGGAGTTGCCGCTGCCCTTCCCCATGGCTCCTCCACCTGGCCTCTGGCCCCAACTTTCCCCAGCCCCGGGCGCGCGCGTACACACACACACACACACACACACACACACACACACACACACACACACGCACACACCTCCCTTTCCTAGACCCCAGCGCCACTTCCACATGTAGTTTGGAGATGACAGATGCCTGTAGACTTTCACCAAACAAGCGGAGGGGGCAGCAGACTACAACAGTTATTTAATTAAAAGGCATTTTTCCTCTAATTCTCGCTCTGGCTCCCAGAATAGCTTTTTCACCCCCTCCTGACCCTGAGCACATGCCTCTCTTTCCAGGTGGCCCGTGGCCCGCTGACACCCATCGCCTTCCACGCCCCCCCTTTCTGGCGTGTACCCCCAACCTCCCCGCCCCCCCCCGTCACACCGACACGAACACTACAGGCCGGCGGCGGGGAGCGTCTGGGGTACGATGCAGCCGGACTGCATTGCACAGTCATCAAAGTTAAGTGTGTGTGTTTGTGGGGTGCTCGTGCGCGCCGGGGAGGCGCGGGGTCAGGAGGAGCGGAGCCTCGGCTCGCCCCCCCATCCCCACCTCCGCGGGTCAGGGGACGCCTCTCCTGGAGATTGCAGCCATTTTAGGGAAAGAGGTGGCTCCGGGCCCGGGGGGAGTGGGCAGGACAGCGCGTCGCTGGGGGCTCGCGGCTCTGCAGCCCCTCGGCGCAAGTGGAGGGCCGGCGGGCGCCGGGCGCACAGGGGCGCGGCGCCCGCGGCGACTTCGGGAAGGTTGCGCTCGAGTTCCCTGGTTTCGCCTGGAGTTGTTCGGGGTAACGCGCCAGCTCCTGCCTCTTCCTCGGGTTCCCGCTGGGCTGGGAGGTGGTGGGGGGAGGTGTCGATGGCAGAATGGGCTCGGGAGGGACGCGACAGACCCTGGAGACCGGAGAGCTGGCGCTGGGGGAAGGGGGGACACCTCCACTCGCCGGTTGGCGCTGACCCAGACAGTGCGACCCACTTGGCCCCCCATCCTCCCCACCCCCTCCCGAGCCTCTGCCTCCCCGCCGAGTGCCAAGTGAGCCCGCGGCGGGGGGCGCGGGGAGCGACGCCGCCCGGCCCCGAGCCACCCCTTACCTGGCTGGAAGGGGTTTCCCAGGAGGAGCCGTAGTTGTAAAAGAAGGAAGAGAAGAAGGTGTCTTCCGACAGCCCGCAGCCCGCCATGCTCTGGATGCAAATAAAACGAGGAAAGAAAAAAAAAGCACACACACACACAAAAGCAACCCAAAATGTTCAAAATCAAATTAAACCAATAAGCCAAGAATATATTCTCTCGCAAAATAAAGCAAAGGAGGGGGAAGGGAATGGCCAAGGGAACGGAAACTCTCGGCGGCGCTCCCTCTCCGGGCAGCAGGGATGCTCGGCTGCCTCCGCCGCCGCTGCCGCCTCCTCGAGACGGTACCTAGAGAGGTTCGTCCTGACTTGGGCAGCCGCCGCCGCCGCCTGTGCCGGCTGCGTGTGTGCGCGCGTGTGTGTGCGTGTGCGTGTGTGTGGTGTGTGCGCGCAGAGCGAGCGAACGAGCGAGAGACCGCAGGGGAGGCGAGAGGGCGAGAGAATGAGCGAGCCGGGATGGAGGGCGCCAAGGCAGAGCGGGCGGCGGGCGTGTGCGCGCGGGGGTGCGTGTGTGTGTGCGCGTGTGTGTATGTGCGCGCGCGCGCGCGTGTGGCTGGGCGTGCGTCTGTTTGGGGAGCTCACCGGAGAGCCGGGCCCGTCACGTGGGCTCCCTGACTCCGCCGGCTGCCGGGGACAGCCTGTACTACAGCCCCGGCCACTAAATCAGCCCCCGCGGCCAGCCGGAGCTCCGCGCAGTACCCGCCCGGCTGTGCGCGCCCGAGGCTGCAGGGGGCGCGGGTGCGGCCTCGGGCAGGTGGGTGGCCGGGTGGGTGGAGTGGCGGCCGCCCCAAGCCTGGATACCGGCAAGAGGAGTGCTGGGGAGACACACAGGACCCCCGCTATGCTCCGTACCTTCTAGGCAAACCTGATTCCCACCTTGTTGGAGGATTTTTTAATTTTAATTCCTAAAAATTGCTTCCCGGTGCAGAGCCCCTTTTTCCAGCTACCAGGAAATTATTTTCACACAGTTGCTATGCCTCGATTTTCTTTTTTTCTGTGTCCCTAGTTCCCCGGGCGCGCGCGCATACTCTCAGACACACACACACACACACACACACACACACACACACACACACACACGGCCTCCTCCTCCCATCCTAAACGCAAACCCACTTCCTTTTGCCGGTTGCTGTAGTTCGCTAAGTCAATGCTACATCAAACTAGGCTAGGCTGACAAGGCTAGAAAGTGGATTTAGGGGACAATACTGCCCCAGCAGGAAGAAGGGCTCTAGTTTGGCGTTCTGTTGATTTAACACTTTAAAAACGAAAAAGGATTTTGTAGCTTCTGCACTAAAACTCAGGCCCCTTGTGTCACAATTCTTTCAAAGGCACTCTTAAGTCCTTTACATGTTGTAAAACTGTAAAAGGATATAATTTCCTCCCTCTCCCCCCCGCATGATATTTCAGGACCACTCTTTTCTATCTTAATAATTGAGTAGTTAAAAGGGTTTGTTGTTTTGTTGTTTTTTTTTTCCCCTGCAAAAAGGTATTCTTTACTTACTTCCCCTGGCTCTTTGTATAGATTTATAGAAAATAAAATTTAAATAAAAACCAGCATATCTATGTGAGAAGCGCCTCCAAGTACTTGAATCCTCACAAGAAAACTTGAAACAATCTCCTATAGGCAGTTTTATATTGTTTTCTTTCCGAATCTTTTTTTTTTCAAATGCTGCCCGTTTTTTATTCAAACCAATTTTGTTTTTCCAAGAGTTCACACTTCCTCTTGCAAATCCCCCACTTGAGGTCAAATTCCTCTGTGAAATAAACATTTCCACAGCAACCCAGTGACGTCACAAACATCGGCTCTTGATTTCAGAAGGGAAATAAAGCAAGAAGAAAGAATCCCTCTAGAAAGGGCTTTTTTTTGGCAATAGCAGAGCTCTTGAGTTTCTGAGGAGACTCTCAAAACATATTAGATTTCTGGCTAAATACCTTCTTTCTTTTTCTGAGATTGACTTATTTTCCAGAGGTATGTCAAATGACCTTAGGGGAAAAAAAAAAACAGGTCATCATTCTGTTTTTTGGCTTCAATGAAAAAGAGCAAATCAGTAGTCCCTAAATCTCACTGGCCACTATAGATTTATAAGGAAGGAAAAGACTTTTTTCCTTTAAAAAATGACATTAGAGAGAACATTAAGAGATGAAATTCAATGTACTAACTTCAGACTCAAATAATGCTGACTGACTCGGCTTCAAAAATACAATAGTTTTTAAGAAGTATTAGACCCACAGAAGCTCTATTCAGTTATCAGAATTAGCACTGAGCTCACCCTTATGGAATAGAGGGGCTTCTCTTCTTTCAGTCCCTCTATTATTTTCTGGGTCTCCTTGCTGGAAAAAGAAGAGAAGCATTCTTCACGTCGTTCCATTTCAGTCTCCCTGAACTTCTACTCCTCTAAACATTAAATGTAAAGGAACCAGAAAATATAAAATTAGGCCTAAGAGCTGGGGTTTCTTAAACTTCCTGACTAAATACAGGCCTTCAGATAACATTTGTACACAGCGTCCTCGAATTTTACAGTTCAAAAAGTGAGTTTCACATGTATATTAGCCCAATTTAATATTTTGTTCCTGCGGCCACTCGTTGCTTCCACAGATTCAGCTCAACCTTCCTTTCCATGCCAACAGAAATCACTTCCATCTGTTATCCCCTTGGCTATTGGTTGAATGAATAGATTTATTCATCACAAAAATCCCAGGAGAATCAAGACTCTCTATCCTCAATCTACAGAAGTGGAAATAAGCTCAGAGATGTTCAGTAACTTGGCTTGAGTCAATCAGCTACAAAGTGGTAAGAATTGAACCCACACCTTATGACCCCACCTGCTTGTCCCATCCAGATAGAAAGAACTAAGCCTGTCACCCCACTGCTTTTAGATGACCATTTCATTCAACCATGCTCTCACGGTGGAGCCAAAGGCACCAACCCTCTTGTTCCAAACTGATGACAAGTGTACATTTGTCCTAGGACCTGTTAGGGCCCTATTTTAGATTCATAGATGAAAAAATTGAGACTCAGTGAAAGACCCCCAAACTCCTCCTTCTACCTATAGCTAGTAAGTGGCAGCCTTGGGTCTTGAACCAAAAACTTCTGGCTCATAATTTCTCTTTCCCTAAAATTTAATCTTTCTTCTGGCTGAAAACATAGGAAAATGAGCATATGGTCCACAGAGCAGGCCCAGGGCCTGCAGAGGCATCCAGAGAGGGAGAGGAAGGAAGAGGTGATAAGAATTTCCATGGGCACCTAGGGGAACATCTGCAAAAGCAAAGTATGGCTTCTGGCCATGACGCTGGGCTCCCCTCAGATCTCCAGCACTGTCTTTTTTAAACAGAGAAGCCCCAAAGGAGGTCCGCTGAGGAAATTTCAGATAAAATGTCCCCTTCCCTCTTCTGCTCACCCCTCCCTGGGGCAGCCCTGCCACCCCGAAAGAATTCTGGCTTGCTGGGTCGCTCATTCACCTGGCATTCGCACAGTAACATGGAGGTTTGTTTGCTAGTTCCCAACAACATAAAAACAAGCCATCTTCCCCTCTACCCCACTGGGGCCCAGAGCAGATGGAGACCGCCCCTGGGGAAGCAGAGGGAGCCGCAGGCTCATTGAGAAAAGATCACTCCAGCCACCTTGCCAGCACCTTGCTGTGCCTTATGCAGATGTCTGAAGATAGAAACTCAAAGCAGAAAGCTTTCAACTTTCAAATCCGCCCTGGTGGGTTCTCCCAAGATAAACCAAACTTTCTTCTGCGTGTGCTCCTGGGTCATATTGCCAGGGCAGAATTTGTCACGCTGAAAACATGTGATTTGTTCAATTAATATTGTTTAGTGAGAAACCCATCTTTATTCATAAACACCTTTCTCCCAAGAAACAAGTTTTGCATTAACCTCATATTGGAAACTGGTTCATAGTCCAGATGATGCCAGGGTGGTTCCCTTGTTTATAAATGAGATGCATTAACACTCTCGTACCACTAGGGTGTCATTTAGAGACTGGCTGCTCTGCTCTGCAGGTGCAAGAGGCTAAATTCTTGTAGATGAGGATAAAAAATGATCAGTGTTCGCTAAAACTGCAGATGGGAAGCAGATGTAACATACAGAGGAAGTAGATTTCGTTTGGTCTCCTTCCTTTATTAGAATAATGTCCACTAAATTGTCTTATTTTTTAAAAACCCTCTGAAAGCACATACGTGAACTCCAGGCAAAGTGAACACCACTATCATTCCTGCCTTCAGGAAGCTTACAGTCTCAACAAATGTCTTTTGGTTGGGTTTATTTGGTTTTTAGTTTCCAATTTTTGTTTGTGATGATTTAAATATTTATACCCTCTCATCAAAATTATAATTACCCCAGGGAAAGATTAAAATTGAGAAGGAGTGAGACATGGAAAAGTCAAGCAGGCAGAGGGGCTGGGAGGCGAAAGAGGAGGATGTCCTGTAAAAAGGGCGGGAAGAAAAGGACAGGAAGAGGGACACAACAGTTAGGGCAGAAAGGCTCTAAGGCAGCAGTGAGCCTCAAAGTAGCCTTCAGAATAAGAACAGCAGACATGTTTTGAATTGCTCTGATGTGTGCTATGTGTTGAATGGTGTCTGTCCCATGGGGATCCTGTGTTGGGGTTGAATACCCACTCTGAGGCATTAAAAGTGTGGGAACTCAGTCTGACTATAGTATTAGAGGTGGGGCTTATGGAGGTGATTCGGGTTAGACAAACACACGATGGTTGGATAGGGGGGCTTTCTAAGAACAGGCAGAGAGACCAGATGAGACATATACCCATGCTCCCTATCTCACACCATGTGCTAGTCCTCATCACCGGGGGAACTCCACAGCAAGAAGCGCATCATTACCAGATGTGGCCTGTCAGAACCATGAGCCCAAATCAACCTGTCTTCATGAAGACCCACCCAGCCCACAGTAGTGTGGCAGTCACAACGGGCAAGTGGGCTGATCCCCTATGATGTGAGTACATAGGATCTTTCCGTGAACTTCCTTTGGGAAGGGTTGGAGTGCTAGTTTATTTGGAGGTGATCCCAAATAACATAGGGAGAGCAGTAGAAGTGAGAAAATGCTGGAGTGCTAGTTTATTTGGAAGTGAACCCAAATAAAACAGGGAGAGCAGTAGAAGTGAGAAAATGTAGCTGCACAGAACACAACTGCGAGCCAGGTGTGGTGGTGCACACCTGTAAACCCGACACTCTTAGAGGCTGATGCAGGAAGATCAAAAGTTTGAGCCCCACCTGGGCAACTTAGCAGTTTAGCAAGAGTCTGCCTCCGAGGGAGATCTAACCCTACTTGGACCCTCTGAGAGGCACCATGGACTGCACACCTCAGGAGTAACCCACGCAAGGGCTGAGGCGAGTGGGGTGCTGATCCCTCAAGTCACTGATGGCAGGTTTCGGGAGCTGTTGCTAGGTCCCCAGCATGGCAGGCCAGTGGCAAGCAGGGCAAAGTGAGGCCTGGCAGCCAGAGAAAGTCCTCAAGCAAAGTGACATAGCTGCTGATGCCAGGATCTGGGGCCGT